CAGAGCAGAGGGGCTCCAGCCCTCGGAGCATTTTAGTAGCCCTCCCCTGGCCCCGCTCCAACAGGTCCATGTCCTCCTGGTGCTGAGGGCTCCCGAGCTGGACGCAGGGCTCCAGGGGAGGTCTCCCCAGAGCAGAGCAGAGGGGCAGAATCCCCTCCCTCGATGCTGGCCACGCTGCAGGGGATGCAGCCCAAGGTAGGGTTGGCTTCTGGGCTGCCAGCGCCCATGGCCGGCTCACGGCCAGCTAAGTTTTTTGATTGCAGGGTCACACCAGAAACTAATTTCATCTCCACCTGGACATCAAAAAATGATCATCCCATGTAACAAAGTCAAAGTTGAATCGAGATTCACCAACGCACTTGGAACACCGATCACCTGCAAGATATTCGTGGCTGGGAAGGAAGCATCAGGACGACTGCAACAGATGATTAAAACAAGGGAGTACAGCTGAGGGGTGCGTCAGCCTCCAGAGAGGATTTGTTAGCGGGAAAGATTCACCCTAGAGATTACCCACTGTAGAGTACTTGCTTAACCATTTAACTTCTCAAAGCACAGTGGCTTGGACCCACACCTCGGCCAGCTGCAACTTATTGGTACCTATGGACCCACATCTGCCTTGACCGTATCCTCTTCCATTCCCTTCCCCGCTGTCCTTAAGCTCTCCGCTCCCACTTGCCCAGGCTCCGCTAACGGCACAGCCCGCACGCAGAGGGGCTCGCCCGCCATGGACAGCATTCCCCCGGTGCTACTCACACCAACCCCCCGCTCCTGCTGCTCGGACGATGGTTCAGCACCACCTCGGTGCTCTTGAAGGGGTCTGGGCAAATCACGATGCTTTGCATGAGGGAAAACCGCACCTCGGGTGCCTGTTTGCCCCCCACTGCTGCAGCCTCTCTGCCCTTTGGGGGCACCGGCAGCGCCCCAAGAGGCAGCAGTTGCTTTTGTTCCCTTCTGCGGTCTCCACGCAGGAGACCGGGACAGGCTGGAGAACTGGTGGCGAGGAACCTGATGGAGTTCAACACGGGCAAGTGTGGGGTGCTGCCCCTGGGGAGGTTGAACCCCACGCACCAGTACAGGCTGGGGGCTGACCTGCTGGGAAGC